TAGCCATAATATTTTCTTATGTTTAATGTCATGACATGTCACTAGAGGTCATGTTAGAATGTTTTAGCTACACACCACATAAACAGACAATCACACATTGATTTTTCTTCATGCTTTGACTACTGCTCTGGCCAGCTGCAAAGCTGGCACCGGGAGATGTCACGGTTTGGCGTCTCTCTGTGTAGAATGGGGTTAGCCCGAAGTGATATAATGTATAGGCCTGTTGTGGTTCAGGGTCTTTCATCTTTCAGCTGCCTGCGTGCATGTTGGAGGTGCAAGATACCTGAGCGTGTAATGTTAATTTTTACCTGTGTTCACTGAATAAATCAGCACTGTTTTGAAGTTACTTGGACTGCTCCGTCTCTCAGAGTTAGCGTGGTTAAAAGTACCGGGTTCAACAGTTTCTTCCCTGAGGCCATCACACTGATGAATACTTAACCCACGACAGTATGATTAGACAATAACCCTCAGTGCAATACCTGTATATACAGTATGCATTGTACAGATTATACAGACTCGTACAGGTCTCTAGTTTTTAGTACTCTATCTTTATCCCTTATCCCTATTTATCTCATTTCAACAAACATTCCTTGTCTGTGTTGTTTACTGTCTGTTTATACTGCTTATTCTGCATCGTTTACATTGTTTGTTGCTGTCAATGTTGCTGTTAATACTGCTTATATTTCACAGCCTTATGCTGGTTTACTGTTTGCACATTGAGAGCTGATGTACCTCAGCCAAATTCCTCATGTGTCCATCACATCTGGCCAATATAATTGATTCTGATAGATGTTTTCAGTCACTAAGGCCATCATTTTAAATCATACAATTTGTGATAACTACTGCCAAATGAAAAATGTGCATAATAAAAATCACAGATAGAAAAGAATGGAAAGTACATTTATTTAATCAAGTAAATAAGTGCAATTTGGAGGTATCAGTACTTTGAGTATTTTTATTTTCTGCTACTTCATACTTTGACTTCACTACATTATATGGGCATATGAACTACTCAAAGAAGGCTGGTATGCCAATCCCAGCTGACATTGGGCGAGAGGCGGGGTACACCCTGGACAGGCTGCCACTCTATCACAGGTCAGAATATTGAGCCTCCTGCTCCTGTAGCAACATTTTGAAAAGTTGGTACTACAGACACAATATTGAAAATCTTTATTGCTTTCAATTCACTGGACAGTTAGGTACATAAAACAGTCTGCTGAATATTGCAGTGTAGGCAGTTGACTGTCAGATGTTCTGATATGAGAGGTGATGCAAAGCCCCTCTCTTGTTCTACGATAGTTGGCTCACTATCACTTCCAGGATAACTAGAATCTTAAGCAGGGTCTTGTCAATATATTTATATCTCTGATTTCATTTTGGAAGATCATTATATGACCATTTCAATTTGCAATGACAAAATTCAGTAAATGATCACACTTCAAATCCAATACTTGCTAGAAAGAAACAAAAAAAAAAAAAAAACACATAGTAAACACATATAATACACAGTATTTTAATACATCCTGATGTGTCAATACAACAGTGACAAATAGGTCACTTTTTGGAAAGCTTTATGCCGCTAATCCCATTGTTCTTGCAAATTTTCTTAATAGAGTTCAGCACTTCTGCTGTCTTTAAAGAGTATATAAGAGGATCAAGCAAAGGTGGTATAGTGTGTATGATAGTTGGCCCACTGTCAGTTACAAGGATACTGAGTTCACTCAGCTCCAGAGAATTTTTTTTTTTTTTTTAAATCAGCCTTCAGCGGCAAAGGTTTGTTTTGGTCGCTCGTACATGGAAAGGAACGTGCAATAAAGACAGACCCAGATAGCTAACTTCGGTGCAAGCGGTGATGGGTTTATTTACAGTGTAATTTAAAATGCAATAGACAGATAGGTGCTGAATGGTATGGAGTAACCGGGTGTCAATCAGTGGCAGAGAAAAACAGTCAATGGTGAGATTAATGGTTACAGACTGGGCTGCGGACGCTGGGGTCACTCCTGAACTGGTTGTGGTTGAAGCAATGATGGCTGAGGAGACAGGAGGATGCATAGATAGTTAATGGAGACTGCATCAACCTGTATGGTGGAGACTGGTAGGGCAGAGTAGATCCAGGGTCCAGAAGAGAGGTCCGATGAAAACAGAGAGCACAGCCGGAGCAAGGGGTAAAACGTATGGGTAGCAAAGACATGAACTAGGAATACTATAAAGGGAACAACGAGCATAGGGGGCCTGACAATAGGGATTGAACTGGCAAGGGAGTGAATGGTGAGCAGGGTATAAATAGGGAGAAAACTAATAGGGTGCAGCTGCTGATAATCAAGGGAAGTGGGGCAGGTGTGTCAGATAGGGTAATCAGGGGAGCAAAACCAGGGTGAGAAAAGGAAGAGAGGAAGGTGCAGCCGGGCAAACCTGACAAGGTTACAGCAACTCATTTTATCTCATCTCATTTTCTATACCGCTTAGTCCCAAATGGGGTCCTGGGAAGGTTACAGCAACTCCTCTTTGAAAATTCCCTGCTGAAGTATCTCAAATTCTGAGAGTTACTCAGTAGCATCTGTTGAGATGTAATCCACCGAGTTCAGTACAGAAAGGAAAGTTGAAAAGCTGTCCTCTTACAAATATCCCAGCCTCCATGCTGCTCTTGAATCCAATAATTAAACTTGTATAACACAGCTATTGTGGTCACCTTTGTTCTTGTCTTCTTCAAGAACTCCTCCAAAATTCCCAACGTGCACACTTTTACAAGTTCAGTGTCCACAAAAAGGCTTGCCTTTTTAAAAAAATCAGCCTTCAGCCTTCAAAAAGGCTTGCCTTTTTGTGAAAAATCTAAAATTGATTAGGGTTTTTATTTCAGACAAAGATCTTATTTTTTGGTAACCAGGAAAAATCTGATTGCTGCCACCTCATTACCAGTTCTTAAATATGGTAACATTTTATACATGAACATGCCAGCACACTAAAGGGATGCAACCCAAGTGGTACTGGCCTATTTGAAAAAATGAATTCTATTAAATGTTGCAAAAATTAGATGGTTTATTGAGCCTCATGTAATAATAATAATATTTTATTTAGAGAAAAGCTTTACACTGTTTACATTTGCAGATATTATATGCACAGCATGTGTCTGTGCCGCAGATCACCATGTCTCACACAAAACCAATATTTTGGTGGCAATGGGATGTATTCAGGTCAAGCTCAGAAAATCTTATCAGTCTCAACTTGTTAGTCTTATTAATGATTAATGACTAATTTGGTGAATTTGGTCTCCTATGAAGGCAGACATGCAGCATTGTCTCTTTTTTGTCAGATTAAACTGTTCTGCTTTTCTGTTTAATCCAGCCTGTGTGAGCAAAGAACAAAAGAAGATAGTTTTGGTTTTGTCGGAGATTGGGGAGGTTACATCATGTCCTGTCAGTGGGAGACCGTAGCTCTAAGTCTGTGGGTGAGGTTAGACATGGAGGAAGTTGAAGTAGAGATTTCTCATTTCAGTTTATTCAGACATGTTTATGACTGTATGACACCTCTAACCTATTCAAATTCATCAACTGCCATTTCTTAGATTTGAAAACATATGTAAACAAACTTATTTCCTGTGTATTCATTCTAAACTGTTCAACGTAATTTATTATTGACATCTTAATAGTGTACTGGACTCTTAATAGTGAACTGGGCTAGATTTCTAGGTCGAAGACGTTTCACCTCTCATCCAAGAGGCTTCATCAGTTCTGGGATCAGTTCTGAAAAACAGGAGCTGATGATGGTGTCATTTCCAGGATAACTAGAATCTTAAGCAGGGTCAATATATTTATATCTCTGATTTCAGTTTGTAAGATCATTATATGATCATATAAATTTGCAATGACAAAATTCAGTAAATGATACATTTCCACTAATGATCACACTTCAAAAGTAAAACTAATACTTGTTAGAAAGAAACTAATAGAAAAAAACGTATAATACACATAGTATTTTAATACATCATAATGTGTCAATACAACATCAATAAACAGGTCACTTTTTGGAAAGCTTTATGCTGCTAATCTCATTTTTCTTGCAAATTTTCTTAATAGAGTTCAGCACTTCTTCTGTCTTTAAAGAGTATATAAGAGGATCAAGCAAAGGTGGTACAGTGTGTATCAAAGTATAGTTTATGATCCTGGCATTAGGATGGATGTAGGAGGTCAGAGCAGCTATGTTGGTGCTAAGATTAGGAAGGAAAAAAATCGCCATAATAAGCAGGTGAGAAGTACAAGTTTTAAAAGCTTTGACTCGTTCCTTTCCTGATGCAATCCTGCTTAGTGCTATGGCAATGCAAATATATGTCAGTGCAATTAGTGCAGGAGGAAAACACAACATTACAGTAAAGAGAAAAACTGCCATTATGTAATTTAAAGAGTTGTCATTACATGCCAGACGACATACTGGTCCATAATCACAGAAAAAACTCTGTACCACCACAGAATCACAGAAGGAGAGATGATCAATTAGCCCAACCATGCACGCTATTAGACATGAAATAGAAACCAACATAAACAACAGCATTACAGCAATAGCTGGTTTGGTCACAATACTATGGTACCTTAAAGGGAAGCAAATTGCTATAAATCTGTCATATGCCATAATCACAAGTGTCCATGACTGCATACTGCCAAAAAATACAACAAAGAACATATAAGTTAAACAAGCCTCATAGACAATGTATCTGTTGTCAAACAAAAATGTGTCCAAGAGCTTTGGGATGAGAGCAGTGCTCCCACACAAATCTGTCAAAGCCAGGTTGAACACAATCATGTATTTAGGAGTATGAAGAGTCTTGACCAGGTAAATCACTGAGAAGAGGAGGCCATTCCCAAGAACAGTTATGATATAGACAAAACACAGGAAGATATAGAAATATTTAATATGAGGGACATCAGAAAAACCACTGTTATAGAATTTTGCGGGATGAACAAATGTGGCATTAAATGTGGTAGAAGATTTCTGTTCTGGTTTCATCATCAGTTTCTTTGGATATAAAAAGAGAAAACACCACAATATATATCGATAGCACAGTTGATTGATCCTAACTGTTGTATGCAAGGTCAAGTCAGACAGTATCAACTGTGCAGCTCTCTAAAATGAGCTGCGCTGTGAGAGACCTGCTATTTATATATTTGCTCTTTCATTGTGAAACAGCAGAAAGACAGGTAGTTGTGTCACATGATCATGAATTAGCTATTTATATAATTCACTGTTTAACTGTATCAAACTATTTCATGTGCTGATGTCATTGGTTCAGTTAATTTTTGTCACTAGGATACTGAATTATCCACTGTAATTGTAGAAACCAGACAGACATTACTACAAATGTAAGAAATTAAAAAACATAATTAGTAATTTTTTTTTTAAGGATGAAAAATGAATACACCTAAAGTCTACAGTTTTTCAGTGCCCCTTTGTACTGTAGGTTCTTTCAAAATATAAAGTTTAACAGCTCCGGTAGGACCAGGGGCGGAGGATTGTGCATTCATGTTAACAAAGCTTGGTGTACGAACTCTGTTATCACTGAGAGACACTGCTCAGCTAACCTGGAATTTCTTATTGTTAAGTGTAGAGCTTTTTATCTGGCTAGGGAATGCACTTTGACTTTAATATGTGCAACCTATGTCAGTCCGGACACTGATGCCAAGCTTGTTATGAATGGACTTCATGTGGCCGTTAGCAAACAGACTACACACCCAGAGGCTGCTATTATTGTTGCGGGTGGTTTTAATCATTCCAACCTAAAGTCAGTGCTTCCTAAAATCCATCAGCATGTTCCCTGCCACACTAGAGGAAATGAAACTCTGGACCATATGTTTACACAAACATGGCTGCTGCATACAAGGCAACCCCCTCCCCCACTTGGGACAGTCAGATCACCGTTCTTTGTTCCTCATTCCCAAGTACTCACCACTCATCCGCCATGTGAAGCCATCAACGAGGATCATCAAAGTGTGGCCAGAGGGGACAGACTCTGTACTACAGGGCAGGTTTCACCACACAGACTGGCGTATGTTTGCCTCCTGGGCTACCTGTGACTCTCACGCGGACAAACAGTGTCCTAACCCAGAAACAGATCACCACGCACCTGTGGATGAACAAGGAGGTGCAGCTCCTGCTGAAGGCACGCAACTCTGCCTTCAGATCTGGTGATGCACAGGCCTACAGCTTATCCAGGGTCAACCTGAGGAGGGGCTTCAAGGCCAAGTACCACTACAAGCTAAAGGTTGAGGAACACTTCACAAACTCGGAACTTTGATGTATGTGGAAGGGCATCCAGGTCATCAGTGACTACAAGCCTGGCAATTCCACCCCAACAACCACAGACATCTCCTTCCTCAATAAGCTAAATGACTGTTATGCTCACTTCAACCGTGACAAGAAGGAGACAGCTATGAAGTCCAGACCCTCTACAGACCACCAGCCACTCACCTCCATTGAAATGTATGCTGTTATGAGCCAGCGACAAGGGCATGTGTACATGTGAATATTGCAGTCAGATGTGATGTGAAATAGAAGCAGCCAGTCTCTGCATTGTTTAGTTGATTATTGTTGCCATAACTTTCTGTAAAGTATTGTGTTCCAGTATGTTTCTTGTTCCGCTGGGCATTCGTAGTCATGTGACCAGTAACGCGGTCTTGTTGTAAGAATCACCAAGAACCGGCGCCAAATAAAGAGACATCAGACAGAGAAACGCCCGTCTCTGTGTGCAGTATATTACATGGTGTCAGAAGTCAAAATGAAATAAAAAGAAAAGGAACAGAACCGAGATGGCATCTTCACAATTCGAGCACCCTAAAATTGACTGATATGTATCAGGAATTTGAAAGATTCCGCAGTCATGTCACGTTTGTCTTTGACGGACCTCTCTCGGAGTTAGCGGCTAAACAACAAGCTGGCTGGCTAGGCACTTGGATCTGTGAACAAGGTAGGGAAATCTACAAAACGATGACCTGGGCTGATGGCGAAAATATTTATTACAATATTCAAGAAAAGCAATACAGAGCTCTGGGTTCCGTCTATCTGACGCCCTATCCACACTACAGAAGTATGGTTCACAGCCTCTTCAGGAAGCCGGAACCCCTAGTCTCCTCACCACAGAGAATTTATAATACAGTCATGAATATGCAAAATGTCGGTTGATCTGACGTCATCCGTGTTGTCCTTCATCCTCGTTCCTTGGTTGGTTTGTTGACCTTGTTCTGACCCCTCATTGGTGTTCCTCTTGTTGTCAGGCAGATTTTGATCTGTGAAATTCTAAGAACAACATCCTGACCTTTCTATGCCCTAAGCACATAGACAGTTTTAGGGACAGCACCTCTTGCTTATGTCTCATCTACCCTTGTGACAGGCAGCGTTGTTATGCAGCCTGGCCTTGTTCCTGCTACCTTCCATCCTGGTTTGGCCACCTCTCTGAAGTAAGGGAAGTGCTCCTCAATCCACATGTAAATTTCTCTGAGTGTCATCCTCCTATTCGGCCTGCTGTTGATAGCAAACTGGATCATAGCCATGTAGGAGTACGGTGGCCGCTTGGACATGTGTTGCTGAACAGCTGAAGCATGGATTTGTGCACTGTGTGCCTGTACAAAAAAAACACAACAACAACAACAAAAAAACAGGAAAACGACACAGGCACAGAGAGTGTCATATGGTGCAGGCATAGATCTACTCCTGTGCTTGCTTCCTGTTTACTG